GTGCGCCACCATTGCCCGGCTTTTTTTTTTTTTCTTTTTAATTAATTTTTTTTTTTTAAATTTTCTGGAGCTGAAGACCAAACCAAGGGCCTTGCACTCGCTAGGCAAGTGCTCTACCACTGAGCTAAATCTCCAACTCTCTGAATCATTCTTTCAGGATGAGGAACATACCATTTTAAATCTTCCAAGGGATCTGTGAGTGGGTGGCCATTGGTGGAAGAGTCAAGGAAAATGATTTCCAAAGAGAAGGGGAGGTTTCAGTGTAGCCACCCCAAACTTAGGAAGCCTCTGGAACATTTCTGTACATGTGATTTCAGTCTTGCCTATAATGCTTACAGGGTCAAGGTGGCAGCTGTCTTCAGAGTCCCCCTCAAAGGAGGTCTGTTTTATAAAACAATTTATATCTTATATAAAGATAAAATCTGCCTCCTTTAACGTCTACACACTCTCCCTAATTCAATATGGCCTCTTTGTAATGATCTGTACACCCCCTTGCATGGCTTTTAGGAGTTGCCTTCTCCTCAAAATTGTCCCTTCTCTAGCATAAGCAACTCTGTGGCCTCTGAGTTTCTACACAGAGCTTTTCACAGAGCTAGTATTGGCAGGGTTGGAGTCAGGCAGACTATATTACTTACAGCACGTATAATCTCAGACACCCTGTTCAACCACAGACAGTTGCAGTTATTAATTGGAAGTATGCTCCCAGCCCAATGGACTTAGTTCACATCTCCATTCTACCTCTTCTAATTGCTCAAGAATTATTTAATATTTTTGTTAGGCTGTAAATTATTCAAATGATTAGTAATTTGTATTTGTGAATGTGAAACTCTTTAACCCAGGTAAAGATCTGGAATGTGCCCACTCAAAATTTGAGCCCTGTTCTATTTTGCTGTCAGCAGAAGTGGTCTAGATATGCATCTAACCTTTCTACAGCTTCTTTCATGATCTGTGATATCTATGAATTGGATTCAGTCGATCTTATTGTGGGCCAGGGCATTATATCTACTTCCTAAGTAGTCACTAGATGTTATCCTCTAGGAGTGTGTTTTTCAGTAAGGTAGATATGAGCTTTAGAGAGGGTAGGGTTGAAATTATTGGGAGGACAATGAGGAAGATTATTCTGGGAGCAGAATTCTGTGGTGTGGGGTGGATAAAACTCAGAATGTATGGATGGATAGCAGAGCTACATTTTAGGTTTTGCAGAGATAGGGCTAAAAGTGAATATAAGACAAGAGAGAGCACAACAGTGTGAAGACAACATAGTTTGGCATTGTGGAGTGCATTTGTGACAGTAAAGATGGCCGAAGATTATCTGACATTTCTCAGTGAGAGGTGGGTGTCTATGTCCTTGGAATTTCTCTAGACCAACAGACTATGGCATGATACAAGGCCGGCTCCTACTTGCTGTTGGCATCTCAGGCTGCTGGCATGGCTGGGTTCAGTATCTCAGCTGTGTTTGCCAAGGTATCAGACACATGAGTGAATCCACCTTGAACGTTTCAGATCAGCCAGCAGTCAGGTGAATAACACAGAATGATTCCAGTCCATATCATCTGAGGCAGAATTGCTCAGCCAACGTTCGCCTGACCATCTGGCCCATAAAATTTAGAGATAAACACATATTATTCACAAAGATGGATAAATACTAAAATAAAGCTATCCTTTGATATGAGACAGAGTCAAATAGACTCCATGGATTGCTAGCGATATAATCCCAATAATCCTTCCCAGATTTCCCTAGAATAAGTCATTTGTTTTTCCATTTCCTTAGGGTTGTCAGCCCCTTAATGTTTGGCTACAGGAACAAAAAGCTGCCTTGAGCCACAGCTTGCCTTACTAGGATGGAGCATATCCAGTGCCTGCCCAGGAGGAGGATGCAGTCGTGCGACTATCTGGACCTACTGTGAGATGAGGACAATTAATATCTCTATGTGGTAGGTAATGAAAGCAAGGACAGGAAGTTTGGGTGACATTCCTAGGGTGTAATTGCTGGTGAGGAGCAGAACTGAGATGGAAGTCCCTGGCCCTGAAGCCAGGGCTCTTGATTATTTCACACTGCCTAGGCTTCTGTCCTAGATGTTGATTCCTAGCCCCTCAAGAAGTACCTGGGAGGTTAACAGGAACAGGCACTTCTTTAGGTTGATCAACTGTAAGGAATACCATTGTCTGACTGTGTCTGAACTGTTTGGGTTCTGGTATTCTTTTGGGGCCCCTACTCTCAGGGGAGCAGTGATTCCAGGTCAAGAGCAGCCCTTGCAGCTGGGTAAGGTTCTCTATAAATTGTGCTGTTTGTTCAGGTAATGAGGCCTGTGAGCTTCCTGTGTGTGTACTATTGGTATAACCAAGAGTGCCAATGTGTGGATGCCTAACTTGGAGGGCAGAAACTTTGAGCTGAGATGAGAACTATATGTAAATAGCAGGAAGAAACAGCACAACTATCTTACATTTCAGAGTAGAGTTTCATAAAAGAACAGAAGCCACTTGGAAGTGTGATTCCTTCTAATCAAAGAAGGTATTTCTAAGTAATTTTGTCAATGACACCATTGTTTGCCTTCCATGCTTGGTGCTCTCCATTGCTGGCAGACATTGAGGAGAGGCTGAAAGATCATGTATCAGAAGTTATTTTAGAGCAGACATCTGTTTAAAATGTGTTTCTGGTCCTGTGACTATTCTTATCGAGGATTTTTCTCTGTTTCAGATTTCCTGTCAGGATCTTGCTATTTTTCTTTTTCCTCTTTATAGGCCAGCTTCCACACACTTACTTTTCTAATTGATATTGTACAAATCCCCTCTTCTACATCATTGTCCAAAGAATAGGTTCTGACAGGATCTAGGCAGAATAGAACGCAATAAGCCAGGAAGTCCCAGAAGTGCTTCTCACTTGAGTAGGTCTCAAGCCTTCACCCAAATTCTTAGGTCAGTGTCATCACTTGAAGACATCTTTGAACATCTGGGATTTGAACTCTGGTCCAGGTGAAACAAGACCTCCTGGCATAGAAAGAGTATATGATGGAAAAGTGGTGATCTGGATATGGAACAATCTTGGCAAGGCCACATGGTGTCACTATAACTTAATACCAAAGACCTGGGATTTCCAAAGCTAATCTTAGAATTGTGCTGTTTGTCTTGATATGCTTTCCTTTTTTTAATAACTAAGAACTCTAGTCCTCTAAAACCTTACTGTTGGGAATGAAAAGACAGTTTAGTGGTTAACAGTGCTTACTCTCTTATAGAAGATCTGGGTTCAGTTTCTAGTACCTGCAATGAGCAATTCATAAATGCTGTAACTTCAGTACGAGGGAATCTGATGCCCTATTCTGACCCATATGGGCATCTGCACAGGCATGATACACATACACTCAAACAGGCACACATACACATATTTTTTTTAAATCTTAAAGCTCCCACCTATGTTTGTGACAGCATGCATAAGACCTGTGCAAATTCAAGCTCAACCAAATTCCAGCATGGAGAGGAGGGTACCAAGTCCAACCCCAAGCCAAGGAGCTACTGGCAATTAGTTGATAGGAGAGAGAGAGAGAGAGAGAGAGAGAGAGAGAGAGAGAGAGAGAGAGAGAGAGAGAATGAATCACTTTTCTCTAAGATTGTAGCTTCTAGCAGGTAGATCATGCTCCAGTGGAAGCCTACAACTAAGAAATATATGGGTGACACAAATTGGACTTGATAGGTTTAAAACAAAAGGGAAACAAAGTTGGGTAGGTGAATCTGGGAAGAGTTAGGGGGAGAGAAGAGAACATGGTGAAAGAACATTATACAAAATTCTCAAAGAACGAGATAGTTTACTAGAACTAGTTAGAATGTGTGTGAGTGCGTGCATGCATGTGTGTGTGTGTGTGTGTGTGCACGCGCACACGAGTGTGTATGTGGTGGAAGGGAGAGAGGGGAAATGTAGGGGAGAGAGAGAGAGAGAGAGAGAGAGAGAGAGAGAGAGAGAGAGAGAGAGAGAGAGAGAGAGAATTTTTGGGAGTCCATTCTTTCCTTCCACCACGAAGGTATCAGGAATAGAACTCAGGCTCAGGTCATCAGGTTTGGAAGCAAGCGCTTTTACCACTGAACCATCTGTCCAACCTGGGATGGCATTCTTGAGTCAACCACCGACCTTCTTCTGACTGGATGGGAGCTAGCCTCAGAGCAAAGGAAACTCCCCCTAGCTGGCCAAGATACCACGACCATTGTCTCTTCTTCAGCTTCCTGCTTCTGAGGATTAAAGTAAAACAAGTGCCTTAATCTTGTATCTGGATGATTCTAAGTGTAGTCAAAGCCGAGCTTGCCGAAAGCTTAGGGGGTTTCCGGTTTCATGCTTCACTCTGGGTTCTGAAACGACTTGTTCAACCTTCCTTGTGTGGAAATCCCCAGTGTGGCAGGTACTTCGAGACTAGTAAGGTTTCTGTTGTAGGAAGGTCAGCCTGGGAGGAATGGAGCCCTTTCCTACCTCACCTTTGGGGTGGTCAGCCAAGGGTCATGATGGTGCCAGAAGAGGCAGGGACTGTGAATGGGAGAACAATGTGGGAAATGGTAAGTGGCAGGCAGGTGCTGGGTGATGTCTTGCATTCTAATCAGTAAAAGTAAAACCTCCGGGTCTGGACCAGATAGTGCCGTTCCACCATAAGCGGACTCTGCAGACTCGGTGGATACAAATCGTCATTAGAGAAAGCTTAGTGAGACAGGCTGTGAAGTAGACCAGGCTGTCTACTTGACAGCGATGGCTTCAGCGTGGTTTTATTAGTCAGAGATTCTTCATAGCAGGTGGAAGATAAAAATCAGGTTCGGTCTTATCTCACAGGGCAGTGGTTGTTGGTGACTTCATGTGTTGGTGAGTGGGTCTAAGGCCCTTGTAACCCAGAAATCCTCAACATTTACATACAATCTATCAATTTATATGTTGCCATAGCAGCTATTGACTCTGTTTTTGTATTCTAGTATTTGTGCATAGTCAGACACTCTGGATTTCAGGTGGTCACAGGACTATCCAGACAAGGGCCAGGAAAGGATGCTCTTCACTTGCTAACATTCTGGGAAACTCATTGCCTGTGGAAATTTATGCAAAAATACAGACAAGAGAGTTTCAGTCCTTGAAGTACATTGGAAGTAGGTGCACTGCTTTTTTTTTGTGAACTCTAAATTCATGTTTACTAATGTAGCTACTGTTACTAATTTAAGTCAAGTTTTAGAAATTTAAACTTTTTTTCTCCAAGGGTCTTTGGAGGAATGATTGGTGTCTCTAACAACTCAGATTAATTAAATTCTGTTAACCAACTTAAACTGAAATTAAAAGTTGACACAGTTGTCAAGTACTTTGGTCCTCTGACTGACAAATACAATTTCAAACACACTGATGTGCTGAAGAAAATTTGTACATCTTTTGATTGTCATGTTTCTAAAATACTTTAATATTGTTCAGAAATGAAACCAAACACCTGTATAAATTGCAGCTTAAAATCAGATGTAGATAAATTAGTTAGTTGTATGGTTTATTATAAACTCTAAGTCTAGTTTCTTTGATGATCTTACATTCAGATTTCACATTTTAAATGGCTGATTCCTGGGTACATATGCCCTCATATCATGGCATGGGGGACTGACACCTAAATGTGGTACTCTCACAAGTTATGCCCTTCTGATTTAAATGTGTTATTAACTAAGTACTGTCCATTATTAAAATCTGTACCATCCTTACTAGATCCCACCTTAGTCCACTCACTACTCATTAATTTTCTTATTTCAATCTTTTAGTGTATTTCACTTTTTAAAAAATAGCATCATTAATATGCTTATATCATCCTTTAATTTTTTGAACTTAAAATTTTTTTAGATGAGAATTAAAGTATAATCATTTATTACAGTACCTAACAAGAACAAACAAGGACTAACTGGAAACTATCAGGGTATTTCTATTATAATAAAAGCCATGACAATGAAAGTCAGATTGTTATAAACACTAAAAATGCACAAACATAAGGGCAGCATTAGTGGGGACGCGAGAGAAATGAGTTTCCATGGCAATAAGGCTTCATTCATTGGTTTCCTCTATTATCCTTTCAGTTATACTCTAAAAGCTGAGAAGGCTGGAGGAGAATGGGCAGAGACTGGATCTGGCAGGTCTAGGCAGAGGCCTGGCCAGGGAACCTGTGCAATCAGAGGAATCATTGCAGGTTGAACTGGAAAGACAGGCAATAGAAGTCTTGAATGCTAGGTTAGGGCTCACAATTACAATTTAATTATTTATGTGAAGAGAGTTGCACCATGAATCATCTGGAAGGATGGGAGAATGAACAGCAAAGAGGTGAGTGCATGAACCACTCACCATTTCACACAAAACAGACACAGAGACAGAATAGCAACAACTGAGATTCAGTATCTTGAAAAAGACTAAAACAAATATTCCAGCAAGAAGTGCAGGAATATGCTTGGTCTCTTGCAAGGTAGAACTGACTCTCATTACACTTTTCAAGGACGCTTTGTCTTCAGAGGGTCCAGGTGACTTTTATCTTGGATCAAGTAGATTTATAGAAACAAAAGGGATTTCTCAAGAGTAATTTTTGCTTGCTTTTGAGACATGATCTTATATAACCCAGATTGGGCTTGAGGCTTGCTGTATAGCTGAAGATAAGCTTGAACTTCTGATCCCCCTGTCTGGGAGTATAGCCATGCATCACCATGCCCAGCTCAAAAGTAATTTAAATATAAAAAGATATGAGTTGCAAGAAAATTTCTTGAGGGAGGAGTAAGAAGTACGTGGGAGGAATCATTCTTAAGCTGCCACGTTATTTCTCTAGACTGAAGGTGTTTCACAGGTTGGTTGTATGTCACTCAAACTCAAGTCGTTTTTGAATAGTGGAGCCACTTTCCTTCTCTCTTCTCTTCTTTAGACCACTTCTGTGTGCTTCTGTGCACGTTGGGGAGGTTTAGGTTAGGGATGCTGGAAAAGCACCATCTCTTCAGGGATGTCGGAGGTGCTGCAGTTCTCACTTTTGGTCTCGATCACACCTCTCTCCCTTCTCTTGGTGCAGCAGTCCCTGGCTAGTCAGCCCCTGAATTCTCTATGCATAAGAGCACTGACATCTCCTACTGTCTTTTGAGTTGTGAATAATTTTATGCATCAAGTTTTGTTTATCAAATAGCATATTTAAGTATTTTAAAGTCATTTAAAAAGTGACTGTTAACTGGAAAACACAGGTGTTAGCTAAGATATTTCATAGCTTGGAATGTAAGATGAATTGAATAAGGAAGGATTGAACTACTACTATTAATGGTTGTCTCAGTCTGTCTTGTGTTATATATAAGAATTCATCAGAACTCATACTTTATGGACATGGAAGTCTGTTTAGCTTATGATGCTGAAGATTGGGAAGTCCAAGATGGAGGAAGTGCATCTGGAAGGTAGTTCTTGCTGTATCATGACATGGCAGAAAGCACCATATGGTGAATTGTGCTACTTTTTATTTAAGAACTCTGATTTTAAAACAACCAAACCAATTCCTCTATGATGACGTTACTTCATTCACAGGGCAAAGCCTTCATGACAGAATCACTATTTAAATGTCCCACATGTCAGCTGTTGCCCTAGGGTTAAGTTTCTAATATGAACTTGGAACAAAACATTCAAGCCTTAGAAGATAGATTAGAAAATTTCCTTCCTAATAGCATCAATATTATTTGATTTCACTAAATGGTATTGGTACTATTTGATGAGGGCTAATAAATACAGGCATACTTCAGACGATGAGAAATTTTAGACTCTAGAGACACAATAACTGGTCTTGACATGTTTTTGGTTTATAAAAGAGAACAATAGGTTTGTAATGAACACAGTATATTAAATTCCTATAATTGAGGTAGAGATGTTGAGTGGGTATTCAGAAATGAGACCCGAGACTTTAGCCCACAACAGGGCTGACATACAGACACAGTGAAGAGAGGATTCATAAGAACGCTGAAGGAGAAAAGTCAAAAATTTTGTTGTGAAAACTCTTCTAAATTGCATGTTTACTGGATGTTCCTGGTAGAAGCATCAGTTTCAGGATTTCAACACACAGAAGAATATTGTAAAGTGCCACACCCATTTCAAGAGCATCCTTGTTCCTTGTGGCATCTATGAGAGAGGTCATGCTGCCCAAGAGACTCTCCAAATGACAGCATAAAGTACACTGGAATTGGACACGAATGCCATGTGGACTCAGACATTAAAAATATCAATTTATAACACATTACAAATAAACTAACAAGAGCATAGAACAAGGAAACAATATTGAAAATTGTAAGAAAATTACCAACACATTTATGAAGGCAAATCTACCAGAATAATTTTGATTTTTCAGCAGAAATTCTTCAGGCCAGGAGAGCATGGAAACCATGTGTTTCAAGCACTGAAAGGATACAATGGCAACAGTTGTAGATTGCTATAGCCAGCAATGTTACTCCTCAAAATCAAACAAGAAGCAATGACCTTCCAAGAGAAGCAGAACATAAGCATTCATGACCGCTACTCCAGGCTTACAATATTTTTTTACTTAAAAATTTAATAATAATGCTAATAGCAATGATAATTTTATTTTATGTGTATTGGTGTTTTGTCTGTATGTATGTCTGTACACTACATGTGTGTATGGTGCCTGAAGAAAAGAAGAGGGCATTGGATGCTGAGTGAGCACATGGATGCTGGGAATCAAACCCAGGTGCTCTGGAAGAGCAGCCAATGCTCTGAACCAGCAAACCATCTCTCCAGCCCCCAGAACACTCTTAAAGCAAATCTTGTACCCAGGAGAGAAGGAAAGATGAACACAATCAAAAGAGCAGCAAAGAATAAGTATCATTAAAGAGCTGATAAGCAAGTGAGAATTAGGAAAGAATCAATCACCATTTATTCTTAAGCCATCAAGTACCTAATGTGAATAAGGGAGAAAGGAACTGACTTAAGTTATTCAAAACAAGTGGAAGAAAGGAAACAAAGAGACAGAAACTAGAATAGATCTGTCAGTAATCACTCTGAATACAAATGCTACTAATTTTCAAATCAAAAGATGTGGACTGGAGGCTGAGGCGATGGCTCAGTGGTTAAGAGCACTGGCTGCTCTTGCAGAGGATCTGGGTTTGGTACTCAGCATCAGGTGTTCACAGCTGTCTATAACTTTAGTTCCAAGGGATCTGATTGTCTCTTTTGGTTTCTACAGACAGAGCATGTACATGGGATGCTTTACACACATGTATGTAAACACTCATATACATAAAGTGAAAATACATTAAATCTTTTTTAAAAAATGATGTAGACTAGATATTTGAATTAAAAAGCAAGATTTATTGTTTTGCTATGTGGGAGAAACTCATGTCACTGGTGTAGCAGGAATCTTAAATGGTCTTATTAATAAAATCAAACCTGGAGCCAGGTATTGGGATGAATGCTGGAAGATCAGAGAAGCAGAACAAGCCACAGCTACCTCACCTCGCCAGTTCCTCAGCTGATCCTGTTTTCTCAGACTGGAAGCCTCTCAGTCTTCATCCAGAATGAATCTCAGCTGAACTGTGCTGCTCAGAGCCTAAAAGCTTAACCAGCCAAATGCTTCTAGTTTCTGGTCCTCACATCTTATATATCTTTCTGCTTTCTGCCATCACTCCCTGGGATTAAAGGCATGAGTCACCATGCCTGGCTGTTTCCAACATGGCCTTGAACTCAGAGATCCAGAGGGATCTCTGCTTTTGGAATGCTAGGATTAAAGGCTTGTGCTACCACTGCTTAACCTCTATGTTTAATATTGTGGTTGTCCTGTTCTCTCACCCCAGATAAGTTGATTAGCATGAATAATATTTTGGGGAACACAATACACTGGCAAAGACAGATTGAAAACAGAGGATGTCATGGTATTCCACTTGAATGGAATCCAAAACTCAGGAGGAATAGCTATGGTCATATGTACACAAACAGACTTCAAGGCAATACTCATTAGACAAGACAGAGAAAATTACTATATTTTATATAAAGGGAATAATAACCAAAAGGATATGACATTTATGAATGCATATGAGTCTATTGGGGAAGTCAGTTTTATAAAATGAAGGCACTGCTAGATGTTATGGGAGAGGTAGGTTTCGGTATATCACAATGGGCTACCATAACACTCCCCTCTCAACACTAGATGGACCACCCAGATAAAAAATAATGAACTAAGAAGCATCACTGTTAAGTTGCACATAGTTCAATGGACTTCACAGATACCTATGGGGCATTCGATGCAGCAGTGGCAAAAGCATTCTTTCTGTCCACACGGGGAAGATGCTACTCTTCCTAAAGTATCTGTAATAATAGGCCACAAAGAAGCTCAAAAAATAAAGAGTGGTGGAAACAATTTGTGATTTGTGTCAGATCATAATGGATGAATCTAGAATTCAACAGGAAGAGAAATAAAAGGAAGTGTAGAAAGACATGAAAACTGAGACACTTTTTTTAACTTTTGAGATTATGATTTAATATCATTTCTTCCTCTCCATTCCTCCTTCCAAATCCTTCCATATGCCCCTCCCCAGTCCCCTTTAAATTCATGACCCCTTTTTAATGATGTAGGTGTAGGAAAGAACTTCCTGAATAGTGGCCTGCATCCGTTGTTGAATGAGCAGGCCATTGAAGAAGTCAGGCAGAAATATTTTTTATTTAACATAATTTCTTTATTGAATATTTTGGAATTTTACATCATGTACCCTAATTCTGTTCACCCCCCAGTTCCTCCATATTCTCCCTCACTCCTGCAGTCCCCTTCAAAAAGAAAATTAAAAAAAAAATACCCAAGCCAACCCAACCCAACCCAACCCAAAACAAACCAACCCAAACCAACCCAACCCAACTCAACCCAACCCAACCCAAACCAACCCAACCCAAACCAAACCAACCCAAACCAAACCAAACCAAACCAAACCAAACCAAACCAAAATAAGCAACTAAGCAAACAAATAAAAACAAAAACAAGCAAAACAATAAACAAACAAACAAACAAAAAACACCTCTTCAATTTGCCATCTTTCTTGCACCTCTCCAATACCTCTTCATTCATCCTGGTGGCATTGGGAGCCACCATGTGTCACACAGTATATCCTTTTGTCCAATCAGCTTTACTTGCAAATGTGCATTGCATTGAGTCATTGGTCTGGTTTAAGGCCTCTGGTTTCTGGTACATCATCATTACTGGGTCCTCACTGAAACTCCTCTCAGTTATCCTGAGGCTGCCCCAAGACATGGAGATCCTGTAGGGATTGTCCCACAGGACCAGTCTCTTCTCGAGCTCCAGCAGGTCCTCTATGGGTAGATGTTAGGGTGGGCCAACTGCAGGCCAGGCTGTGGGCCTGGGGGTTAGCTGAGCTGGTCAGTCCAGGCCGCTGGGGCCAACCCCATCAGGGGAGAGGTGGAGCCAACTTGCCTACACCCATTCCGTCAGGGTCAGTTCTTCCTCCCCGTGGTGAGAGGTAGGGCCATCTCTCCCAAGTACAGGGCAGCTAGCTCTCTTGTTGCAGTATCCAGCAAGGGACAGAGTCAGCTATCCTAGGGCCAGCAAAAGGCAGGGCCAGCTCAGCATGGCCCTCTGATTTCATCTTGCATGCTTCCTATGGACCCCTAAGGTAACAGGGGCCATGACATCTACACATACCCTAGCTGCAGCAGGACTATGGACCTAGACATGGCCCTCCACAGCAGCCTGGGCCTGAACAACATCCTGGCTCTGGGTGGAAACACAGGCCAATCAGATCAGGATGTCTCTGGTGGCAGCACAGCTCCCAGACATCATCAACAAGGCCACAGGTTGTGGCCCTGACTCCTGGTTTCTGTATGACCTTTAGTGGCAACACAGGCCTCTGACTTCAACACAGACCCTGGCTGTGTTAGGACCACAGACCCAGACATGGTCCTCGGCAGCAGCCAGGTCTGGATGTCACTATTTCCTCAGGTGGCAGTGCAGGCCACTCAGATTGGCATGACCCCGTGGCAGCATGACTCTCAGACACTGACATGGCCCCATATCTCAGCCATTCCCATGGCCTTTGATGGTAAGAGGAACCTGGGACATCAGCACAGACCCTGACTGAAGTAGGGCCACAGCCCTAGACATGTTCCTCAGCTGCAGCTCTGGCCTGGGCATCACCATGGCTTCTGGTAGCAGCGCAGGCCATCCGATCTGCATGATCCCAGCTGTAGCATGGCCCTCAACCACCAACATGGACTCAGTTTGCTGACCTGACTCTGGGCATCCACATGGTCCCTGGTGGCAACATAGGCCATGGACTTCAACACAGACCCCATTTGTGGCAGGCCTACAGTCCTAGACATGGTCCTCAGCAGTAGTCATGGTCCAGATGTCACCATGACCCCAGGTGGTAGCACAAGTCACCTAGACTGGTATGGCCCTGGGGGCAGGATGGCCCTCAGACACCAACATGACCCCAGGTGGAGGCCCAGACCCCAAGAATTCACATGACCTTCTTGGCCACAGACATCAAGAGACCCTGGCTGCTATAGGACCACAGACCCAGACATGGCCCTAGGCAGTAGCCCCGGCTCTGACAACACCATGGACCCAGGTGGTAGCACAGGCCACTCAAATCCAGACAGAAAAATTTAAATTACTAGAATCAAATTAAACTTAAAGCACAACATATCAAAACCTTTAGATATACTAAGTTTATAGCTATGATTACTTTCATCTGAAACAAAACAACAAAACAAAATCCAAACAGCCAACTAGTGAAAGCATTGTAAAATAACCGGACTGATTCCCCAGGAAACCAATAAAGCATCTCAAGAACTAGAACAAGTAAGTACAGACATTAGGATAGGAGTAGGGGATGGGGACTTGGTTTAGTGGTAGAATACCTACCTAGCCAGCACAAAACTCAGGGTTCAATCCTAGCATTGAAAAATACTTAAAAAATATTAGGGAAGGAATAAATGAAATATACCAAAAATGTAAAGCAAAGGATCAATGAAACAAAGTTGTTTTTTTTTCTTTGAAAAACAGGCCAAATTGACAAAACCTTAGAAAAAAATAGCCAAGGAAGAGAGAAGACCACAATAAATAATAGAAGATGCAAAAAGGCTGTTTTTACAAATACTGTTGAAATCCACAGAATCATAAAGAAATATGTCTAAAGCAGTTGGTCAATAAATTCAAGAATAAAAAAATACATGGACAAATTTCTTTACATATTTGACTTAACAAAATTGAACCATGTGGTTATCTAAAATGTGCTCTCTCTCTCTCTCTCTCTCTCTCTCTCTCTCTCTCTCACACACACACACACACACTATAAAACACTCACACACACTATTACACAC